CCCCCGGCGACACGTCATCTTCGCCCAAGCCTTCAGCCACCCCAGCAATCCCTGCTGCCCCAGCAGCCGCCCAAGTTGGCCCAGCTGGTGCAATTACGTGCCCAGCCGCCCGCTTCGGCTGAGCTGATCCAGCTATGTAAGCCTCTCCACCGGCAGCAGAGGCAGCAGCGGCAACACGAGGACCAGCATCAGCAGCAACAGCAGAAGCAGCAGCAGCAGAAGCAGCAGCAGCAGGAAGAGCAGCAGCCGCAGCAGCAGCCGCAGCAGCAGCAGCGCCGCCGCCACCATTAGCGGAGTTGGCGGAGATCCCTAGGGACGCTCGCGCCTGCGTAGCTGTGGAAAAGAGGCTGCTGGTCCACCCCTCACCTATGCTCTGATGGACAGCCGCCCCTGGCCGCGGAGAGGGGGGCATTGCGCGGAGCAGGTGCTTCTGATTCTGAGAAGCAGCAGAGGGTCCCTCCCAGGGGGAGGAGTGCGCGAGCTGGGCGGCAGAGCTGGTAAACAGCCCACTGCCCGTGGTCGACAGGGTGGCGGCGGGCGGCAGCATTGCGCTGAACGTTTTTGGTGGCTGCCCGCCAAAATCGACGGCGAAATCAACAGCGGCGGCAACAGAGTGTTGACCTGTGGGGTTTGGACTGTCACCATGTGAAGGTTGCGGCTCGCGATTCCCAAAGGCCACAAAACGCGGCACATTTAAAATTCGCTCCACTTGGGAGTATGCACCCGCAGGTGCGGCGACGACGACGACTTGCCGAGTGTTACTAGCGGCCATAGCCGCAGCCTGTGGGTCATTGCTAGCCGCTGCCATGGCTTCCATGCAGTGGACAGCGTCTGAAGTGATGTTGACAGCATGTGACGTCAAACTCACAACAGGAGGAGGTGAGTTACTAGTACCGCCTCCGGCTGCTGTGGCTGCTGCTGCTCCGAATAGGAACTCCGCCAGGCTGCTCGCGCCGCGTTTGGAACCCATTCTGATGCGACCAGGAGCGGCGTTGACCACGTTTACCTACACATTGGCCACGTTGACCTACGCATTGACCAACAGGTTGGCCGCGTTGACGATGCCACACGCGAAGGAGTGGATGTGCGAGAAGGTGGCGAAATAGTGGTTGGAATAGTAATGGCTTTCTGAGGGGTGTGTAGTCGCTACTGGAGGTATCCGAGAGCTACTGGTGCAATAACAGCTTGTCACAACCACAAAGAAAGCCGGAGAATTTGAAGAACAGCGTACGTCCGAACGCATTTGAGCCGCCGTAACAGGAATAGTAGGTGTGACGAGTTTTGAGACGTCGTAAAAAGGCTGTGAGCGCACACAGCTAATCTGAGAGGACTCCGGCATGGTGAGATTTTTGACAGCGTGGCAATGCGGCGTTGACGGCCCGTCCAGCCTCCAACAGAAGGATGAACCACCCCCCCACGTGCTTGATTCTCCCACACTCTGCTCCCGCCAGCTTTCCGGCGAGTCGCTTTGAACCATCCTAATGCGCAAGTAATCTCCAGATCTTCAATATCACGCCAAGGCCCCGGGCCTTGGCAACAAAGGCGAGCGCACACATGATGTTGATGATGATGCGCTGATGATGCGCACATGACGCAACGGGACTATAGGTCTAATCTGGACTACTACTCTTGGCAAGAGACGGTGATCACAGCAACAATCCCCACCGATGATTCCCAGCCAAGAACCCACTACACCCTCATTCTCAGTCTTCTCACCGGCGGAAACAGTGGCTACAGTGTTTGGACGTAGCGGGCTGGTGAGATAACTCGGTTGCGGGCCAAGTCGCACGAGGCGACGAAACCAGACTTGGGCCGTAAAATTCCGTTAACGCTGAATAGCTGTCTTAACCGTTTAGAAAACAGCAGTAACATTCTAGAACGTATAGAACCTTGACTAAACGCCCTGGGTCAAACTGTCAGTGATAGGACCTTCTTTGGTCCGCTGCGGCTACACTAAGCGTACCGGTCAGTGTAACATATGCCAGTCTAACGAGAATGAGGGTGTATTTGTTTATCTCACCGCACGTTTAGTGTGTCAATGTCATTATTCCCATCCCATGCCCACGAATCCAATCAGGTACTACGTATCCCGACCCCATAAGGAGGTTTGGAGGCTAACGCGGCGGCAAAAAGAACGGGAGAAGTTTTGCGAGCTCCGGAAAAGATGCCACTACTGGTTTCCCCTTCTCTGCGTAGCGACTACATAGTTCTGCCTGGTCACAGCAACTGTACCAGGTCATCCCAAAATTGACGGGCCCCCAGAAGTTACAATCAAACAAGTTAGTTTGGCGAAGTAACTTCTGCGGGGCATTTGGTTCTGGTGCAGCTCAGGAACCGAACCGAAATTTGGGACGCAGCTTCGAATGTGGTCCGTGCGAAGTCGTTTCGGCTTGGGACCAATCTGCGATCAGAATTTTTGTCGCCCGCGTCGCGATTTTCAGTGACGGTCGTTTCTCTGATAGCACGATCAGGCACGACCAATCTGCTTTCAGAGTTTTTG